TTGGATTAAATGATTCTATAAAACTATTAGTAGACTCGTGCATGTTCTTTCATATGCTATTTAGTTCAATCAAGCTATCAAAGTTAGGACAGGCTCCGTACTGGCATACAGGCAATTGCAAGGGACATATTATCATAGCTTCAATACACTGTAGTCTGCTGCTTCCAATCACCTTAGTATTCCAAATACAGAACATTGACAAAGATTTCTTCTATTACCTCATACTTATTATTGTACAAGAAGAATGCACACTTCAGCTCACAAGTTAATACCCATGTCTCTTTTTTTTTAATTAAAAAAATTAAATTTGGTCTCTTTGAAAAGTCTGTACCTATTATTTAATTACCTATGCATGTGCATATGTTCATGGATATACTTATATGTATGCATGCATGTTCAATAATTCTTTCCTGAATTAGAATGAAATTGAATTTTATTTATGAATTAAATCTCCTGAGGAAAGCTCAAACACTTACCTTTCCTTGGCAACAACAATGCCTAAAAGTTGATCTTCTAGTCCTTCTGGAGTAATCATAAAATTTAGCAAAGAAACCTTTGTTGCTAATTCAGGTAAATAATGTGGATTCCTTAATTTGGTGGTAATATAAAATTTGAAATCAAAAGAATATTCAATTATTGTTTCACCAAGTCGAATGCAATCCATGCCCCCTAGTGTTAAAGAAAAAAAAGCATTTGTTTTCTACACCAACAGCCTTTAACTGGCAGCAAGTTTAGCAGTTTAATAATGTAAAATAAATTACACATATGATAGTTAAAGAGATTATAACTGTATTCGGATATCACGTTCAATGATAGTTTGGGATACCCTTGGATTCATGTAGCACTGGTTCCATTTCTCTACTGCACAACTAGTCTTAAAATAGCATTTTAAAATAAAACAAAAGAAAATAAAAGAATAGTACTGAAGTCCCAAGGTTGCTAATAGAGACATCCATGAAGACCCCAAATGTAGATAGATCTGTGCTTGCTCAAGTCAGCAAAATGTTACAAACTGAAAGTTAATAAGAAATTCATGTTGTGTTTTTTTTTCTTATCCCCCTTGATTTTATTTCTTAAGTCTGCAAATCCCAAACTGCGGGCCATGGGTCCTAGCGCATCACAGCGCATAGTGTGGGAACTGCTAGAAGCCTTGTGAATCAGGAAAATTTGGGAACCTCTACATTAGATTTATTATTTGCAACACTCACTTTGATAAGCCTTTGGTTTTGGATTTTGGTCAAGTATGTCATCTTCTGCTTCTGTGATAATCTTGTACCTCATGACACTCCCTCTTCCATTCAGTTAATCCCTGGCACATCTTTGCCTTGTCTTATCTCCATCCAAATAAAATAAACCTTTGTACTTATTTAGATTTGTCTTGCTAACACTATTGGTCCCTTCCTGCCTTCTACTCACACCATGGGAATATCTGCATTGAAGATATTGCAACACATTGCAACACATGCAATCCCCATGTGTTCAATTTCAGAGGGCAAATGTTGGGGACCATTAAAGCTAAGAATTAGAGTTATCAGAGATGTCTGTTAATGTTATTTTAACTCCAATTTCTTTTTTTTTATTCACACATTATTAAAACTCACTTTACTGCCTTTTGAATAATGTTGAAGCCTAGTATAGAAACCCAATGGTTTCATCTCTTTAGCAGTATGCATAAAATTTCTTTGAAAGTTTATGCCTACATACAGGGGAGCTATTCTGATTGAAATGACTCTGCTCTTCTGCCTCTTTGGAACCAACAGATTATATACTTACTAGTCTATGCTTAGCCCATAATTTCATATCTTTTTAGCACAGACTTTTATGTAACCTGATATAAAAAACTGAACAAATTGAAGAAACAATAAAAGCTGAATGGAAGGGAAGAATTCTATAGAAGCCAGAATAAATGCACCTATCAAAGTCCTACTTATAATGGACATTCTATCTTCCTTACAAGGAAACATATCGTCTGCTTTTAATTTCCAACTCTCTTTGCCTGAATGTTGGAAAGCAAAAACAGACAAGAAATTATTAATCAATATTATACGTGCAACATGGCTCTTATTAAATAACAGCAGATTAAGGTTCTTGGATTTAAATCTGCAATGCATGCAAATTTGATTATAAAATAAAAATAACAGTACTAAAAAACTGTATTACCTTCATCTGTTACTAGGCAGCAATATTTGAGGAATAAAAAGAAACACATTAAACAGTGTAATGGACTATTTAAAAAACAGTAAACATTTCCTTTGAATTTTAATAGCTTTTATTATTTCTTGTACCTTGTTTAAAAGTTTGCCTAAGTAGCAAAGGTTCCAAGGAAGGATCTATCTCTTCTCCAACATTTTCAAGCAGAAGAGGAGTTCCAAACTGAATGCAGTTTTCTAGAGTTCTCATGTAGTCTGAGTCAGTAAATTTTATGACACTCAGTCTGTTCTCTTTCTCGGAATGTTTTATCCATTTATTTGCTTGACCTTGGGGATCAATCATTAATGGCCTACAAAATAGCACCAAATATTAATAATTCTAATAATTTCAGTTTAAATACTCAAATTGGTTTTAGTACTATTTTTAAAAAATGTTTAATAATAAACATTTGTCCTAGGAAATGACTTTGAAAATCGATAGAAAGGTGCCAACAACAATCAATGAATTTCACAAAATAATAGATTCTGATATCACTGAATCAATAATCAAGGATTATACTTTATTATATATACTTAAATAATATTAAATAGTATAGTACGGTTTCATTACAGTTAAAAAATTTACTTAGTACTGCAGATTTATTACCTCAGGCAGCTATTGTTTTGAATATGTAAATATGCCTTCAAGTTAGTCTTGACTCCTGGCAACTGCTTAAATGTCTCGCTGTAGTTCAGAGAGAATGACTGGTCCAAAGTTACCAAATGGCTTCATGCCTAAGAGAAGACTAGAACTAGTCTCCTGATTTCCAGCTAGTGATTTAACCTCGACACCAAACTAGCTCTCATTTATCTTTTTACATCCAAGAAAAAAAATCAGACTGCTCCCTATCCTGAAGGAATAGTTAAAATTTTATATAGATAAGTATGTATTTGAATGTAACTATATATATTCAACAATACACATAGAAAACAGAAAGAAAACATAACCAGAGGTTTAAAACTATCAATAGTTTTGCTTCAATAGCCTAATTTTAAATAATGCTAATTACCTACCAACGTCTAGAATTGTCAACAATCACACCGTTATCTATGGAAAACTGATCTGTTGGAAGACCTGCAATATTCCAGGCTCTAATTTTTATTGGATCACCAAGGGTCTTGCTTAGAGAGAAGCTTTCAGAACAAGGAATATTTTTTACCTGTAGGCACAGATAAAGCTTGCATTGATATTCATGATTATTAAACATGTGTACATATAGTATTAAAATAGGTCATATTGAATTACTCTTATTTTAAGAGTCAAGAGAAATTACATAGGAAAGGTTAATAGGCAGTACCAGGAAAAGTTCCTATACTTAAAGCAAGATTTAGAAAAGCATTTCACTTTTAGACTCTTCTATACTATTTTAAATACAGATTTAACCAGTGGTGGGATTCAGCCGGTTCACACCTCTTCGGCAGAACCGGTAACTAATTTTTTGTTGCCCAGGCCCAGAATGGACTTCCGGAAGCGGCATTCATACAGAGTACCAGTTGTTCACATATTTGAATCCCACCACTGGATTTAACTATTGTTTCCATTATGATGTATAGTATTAAAAATCATAATGCATGTTAAAATTATTTCCATCATGCTAATAACAAGATATATATGATCTATTTTGACAGAGTCATTGTTAGAAGATGACTATGTATATTCTAGAAATAGAGCAGTAAACTAATACTACCTGACAGAGTTTGCTCCACTCTTTAGTACATTCTTGTCGAAATCCAGCAGTAAAAGCACCAAGGTAAGCTATCACCCCTGCTGATACCAGAACATCTCCTGTCAAATTATCGTAAATATTCTGAAGATCATCTGCAGCATGAGACCATCTAAGGCAGAAAAGATAAGCAGATTGACCAAAGTGACATATTGAATAGTTTACTAAGGTTTATTTTTATTTCCTGTTATATCAGAGTTGTTAAAATTAATTATGTGTCTGAGAAAGAGCTATCAGGAAAAGGATATGTTGGAGACTTCTGGTTTTGCACAGTAGCGACAGGTTGCGGGCTTGCGGATTCTCCGCACCCCCACGGCTAATTTCGTCCTGCCAGGGGACCCTAAATGGGTCTAAGTCACCCCAGAGAGGCGACGAAGAAAGAAGGGTGCTCCAGCGATTCTGGAACAGCGGTGGCCATTCCGTTCAACTTGGGGAAAGTCTTCTAACCCAACAGGAGAAAGGCTGGCCGTATTGCATCAACCAGCCCAAGCTACTAGCAACTGAAGTCCAAAAGCACTAACCAGCACAACTGTGAACAGCGTGCTTGAAACTGGGTGAGGAATTCGATCTTCTCTTTTCTAGATTACATTTAATTTCCTGGAAAAGATCCCAAGAAGCAAAATACCTCCGAAAGGGAAGGAGGGGGATTTCCGTCCCACCCTTATACTAACGGAAGCGGCGAATTAATCTTTTTATGAAGGATCAAAATATATGGAAGTGAAATAAATATAAAACCTGAAACTAAAATTTGAATCTGAATAAATCTAAAATTGTTTGAATGGTTAAGACTCTTATTTTAAAGATAATTGTTCATTTTGGAAATGGAAAAACAAATAGTTGCTGACACCTAGTAGCAGATGAAGACTATGACAGCTATGACTTTAATATAAGACTTGGCAAAATCTGGGAAAAGCTAATCTGTGTCTGTGACCTTCAAAGCTTTAACAACAAAGAACAGCTGTGACAAAAAAAGACAATAATCTGGATTGTAGACAAAGAGAGAATTATAAATTTCAGGAAAAAAATCTTTTTTGAACTATTTGGATTACAAATATCTGTCTAATTGGGACTCTAAAGCTATTTGCAGGGAAAAAAAGAGGAAAACTCAAATTATTGGCTATCATGGATCAGAGATATGTAGAAAGAACATATCAAGAAAACATAAATACTTCACAGGAGGAGATATATAATATACTGCAACTAATTCAAACAACAATGACTTTAAACCACAAAGAAATCCAAAACAACTTTGAAAATATAAATCAATCTATTTCCAAGTTAACTCTACAACAAAAAAATCCCAGAAAACAACAACAGAGAAGAAGCAGATAAAACAGATAAATGGATATAGAATTGAGAATATAGACTTAAAGATGGAAATTAACAAAACAAGGAAACATGATTTAATCCTAGTGGAAAATAATTCACAAGAATTGGAAAAAGCAACTTATCCCTTAAGACTACAAAATAAATCTGATGACAAGAAAAGAGATTGGATAAAATGGACTGTAGAGATGTCAGGAACATAGGAGAGAAAGGAAATGATAAGAGAAGCGGAGAGAAAGAAAAAGATTTTCAACAAACATGGAAAGGCAGAAGTCCTATACAAAGACACTTCTCCTGATTTACTTTTTATATCTACAGCAACATTTATGAACATACGGGAAAACTTTTTGATTCAGCAAAATACATTGATTAAGAAAGACACTGGGCAAAAGAAAAAGACTAAAGTGGAAACTAAGAAAATAGATGATGGGACTTACCAGAGAGAATACTTAAAAAAGAAACATTTGTTTGAATATGGTTAAAGAAATAGAAAAGTTTTGGAATATATATGTCACTCTAAGAGGGATGAATTCTCTAAATATAATATAGTATGCTTTTTTCCCTTTTTTGTTCTCTTTCTTGATATGAGTAATATAAAAAAAGTTGAAATGATTTAGATAAAGGAAATGTTTTAGATATTTAAATGTGATTGAATTTAAGAAAATTATAATGGATAAAAAGTGTTTTGAATAAGAGTTAAAGGACTAGATGACTAGATGTATTAAATGGAATGTTTGAAGATTAAACATATTTTTAATTATGGTTAAAAAGAATAAGAAATTTAGGAAATAAATACATATTAGCTCAGGAAGGATATATATTTTAAGAAGTATATTATTTTTTATGCTTCTTTACTCTTGCTTTTCTTTCTTTTTTCTACTGTTTTATCTATTCCTTAAGAATGTAAAAGTATGAGATGGTTTGTATGGAAAAATAAAGTTAAATTCTTAAATGTAATTAATTTTTGAGAAAATCTTAACCAGTAAGAATATCTAGAATTTGGTGGGAGAAACAAATTAAAATAAGGACTGTAACAGGATCTATGATAAGGCAACCAGAATGATTGGATAGAAAAGAAATATTATATTGATGTGATTATTATTTTTAGGACTATTGGGAAAAATTATATATTTAATTGTTATCTATCAAAACAATAACAATTGTATTAACTCAATGTTTGCAAAAGAGGATATTTTGGGAAAAGAGGAAATCAACTAAAACTATTATGTGGATTATGGATTATAGAAATCAATTGTTAGTGATTGTTTTACAAATGTAACCCAGACAACACACTTTTTGCCAATTATTAAGTGATTTATGTTTTTAAAAAATCAATAAAATATATTACAAAAAAAAAAGGAAAAGGACATGTTATATTTCCTTTGCAGAAGGAATGTTATTATTTTATAGATTGTATATGTTAACCAATGAGAGTCTGTCTGGAATATACAAAACATAAATAAAACAACTAGAGCTCAAAATAAACCTTTTATTATGTAGATATCATAAGACATGAAAATAGCCCCATATAGCAGCACAAAATCAGTTTAAAACAAACGATTTATCAGTAACTTGTAATTTTATCATTTTTTCAGGTTGTAATTTTTTTTTAAAAAAGTACTAAATAGTATGCAAACTCTTTAATGTTGTTTACACTTAAGTACCGCTGAAAAGTGTGTATTCTCTTCCTTATAATGGTTTTGCTAAAATGAGTACAAAGTATTTTCTCTGACCTTGATTTTTCTCCGCCAAGTCCTCCAATCAGCTTTTCTGCTCTTTCTAGCTTTTTAGCACACAGATCCACTTGGAATTCTAAGCGGGCTTTTTCTTCAGTTTTCTCAATGAAGGTTTCTTGCAATGCTTCCAAACGATCTTCAACAGCTTTAAGTTCAGCTCTCTTCTTATTTAATAATGCCATAGTCTGTGCTAATGACTGCTGGGCTTCTGCTAAGCGGGCTTTCTTTGGAGCAACCACCTATTTAATAAATTTAGATTGTTATATTCTATAATAATTATGATTTCAAAAACAAAAACAGAACTTTTAAAATGATTAAATATGACAAGATTGCCTATTCTTCAGTACACTTAGGCTAAATTGTTCCATTCTTCAGCAACCTCCCATTTGGATCTTGAGTTGATCTTGAAAATGACTGAGAACTTTCAATTAAAGCAAAATGTCATTGCCACAGTTCTAGCAATAGCTAAATGGAATCAGAATACAAATGACTTAACACAATAGACACTTGGAATCAAATGTGTTTGGCAACTTGGCTGTTGATTCACATATATATGTTGATTCACATACATATATCTACATGGAGGGAAGTAAGCAGTGGGGTACCACAAGGTTCCATCATAGGCCCAGTACTCTTCAATACCTTCATAAATGACTTAGATGAGGGAATAGAGGGGGAACTCATCAAATTTGCAGATGACACTAAGTTGGCGGGAATAGCCAACACCCCAGAAGACAAGCTCAGGATCCAAAAATGGGTCCTATCCAACAACATGAAATTTAATGTGGAGAAAAGCAAGGTTTTACACCTAGGCAGAAATTAACCAAAGGTATAAGTCCAAATTAGGCGAAACATGGCTCAAAAACCTTAACTGTGAGAGGGACCTTGGAATCCTAGTAGATGATCACTTAAACATGAGCCAACAGTGTGCCGCAGCAGCCAAAAAAGGTAATACAATTCTTGGTTCTATAAATAGAGGCATAGAATCAAAATCATGTGAAGTATTAGTACTGCTTTATAAATTCTTAGCAAGACCACACCTGGAATACTGCATCCAGTTTTGGTCACCAAGTTACAAAAAATATGTTGAGATTTTGGAAAAAGTACAAAGAAGAACAGCTAAGACGATTAAGGGCCTGGAGACTAAAACATATATGAAGAATGGTTGCAGGAATTGGGTATGGCTAATCTAGAGAAAAGAAGGACTAGGGGTGACATGATAGCAGTATTCCCGTATTTGACGGGCTGCCAGAGGGGATCAACTTATTTTCCAAAGCACCAGAAGGCAAGACAAGAAACAATGGATGGAAACTAATCAAATAGAGAAGCAACCTGGAATTAAGGAGAAACTTCCTAATAATGAGAACAATTAATCAGTGGAACAGCTTGCCTCTAAAAGTTGTAGATGCTTCATCACTGGAATTTTTAAAGAAAAGACTGGACAGCCACCTGTCTGAAATGGTATAGGGTCTCCTGCTTGAGTAGGGGATTAGACTAGAAGACCTCCAAGGTCCCTTCCAGTTCTATTCTGATTAATATTAAGTACTTCCTTCTAGATCTTTTCTTATTTGCAATGTAGAATTATTTTCTAACACTGTATTTTTCGGATAGATTGCTGCAGAAGACTATTCTCCTGTTAAGACATTACCATGAGATTTCTTACTGCTGATTCGTACACACAGATTTTTTTCAGGGATCTTCACTCTATTACAGTGTTACTAGTCTATGACTAAAATGATTGGCAGAATTATGGACTAGAGGTTTATACTACATATCTTGTGCTAAACTAATGTAATAATTATAGTAATTATAGTATGATATACTGAACTTCCATATTCAAAAGCAGTGTACATCCACAAATTGTATTTGTGATGCAAGGGAATCTGACTGGGAGCAATCATATTTTCAACATAAAAAGAAAAAAACTTAATAATACCTTTGCTACTCGGTCATAAACCTCCATTGCCATAATCCATTTACATAACCCTTCTGCTGCAGAAGATGCTTTAGCCACTTTGGGAGGATCAAATTCAGGATTAGTTAGATATTCCGAACGAATCTTCTGCATCACTGATACCTACAGTATATGAAACACACATTACTTACATCTGAAATACAGGATTCAGCAGTAAACAATTCTCTAAATCATTTGACTATTATTAATCATGTATTACTGGGTAGCTTTTATAATCAAGCTACAATTTGCTCCCTCTGCCTGTAATCCCTATCTTGCCTGAGCATATTTATGATAGAGATTGATGGATTCCCCTGGTTTGTTTCTCTCCTCTCCTGTCATCAGCTGATAGGAAAACAAGTTCTGACAGATGACAGATGGCTCTGGTTTGGCATAACATAATTTGCACAGATGTGTTCAATAGGAGACTATCAACAAGGAGAGAAGCAACCTAGAACTAAGGAGAAACTTCCTGACAGTTAGAACAATTAACCAGTGGAACAACCTGCCTCCAGAAGCAGTGAATGCTCCAACACTGGAAGTTTTCAAGAAGAGACTGGACAGCCATTTGTCTGAAATGGTATAGGGTTTCCTGCCTAAGCAGGGGGTTGGACTAGATGACCTCCAAGGTCCCTTCCAACTTTACTACTACTACTACTACTACTACTACTACTACTACTACTATTACTACTACTACTACTACTACTATTATTATTATTATTATTATTATTATTATTATTATTATTATTATTATTATTATTATTATTATTATTATTATTATTATTGTCTGGGCAGTGTTTTTGCCCTATTCTGAAATTGTGCTAAACCATGCTCAAAAGAAGTCTAACAATCTGCTAATATCAACAGATCAGTTCAGAAAGAACTAGCCTCATTTGCTCCCCAAACCATAATGTATGTTGGAAACAATACCCAAGAACTGAATGGAAGGACAGAGGCCAACATCAGTTTAAAGTGGCCAATAGATGCTGGGCTAATCCATCCCTAGGAGTCATCTGTCTGCACCAGAGAAATGGTCAGTGAAGAATCACTGCAGCCACAGAAAAATTATTATAGCTTGCTGCCTGCTTAAATGAGAACACATTACTTAAAGGGTAGAACATGTAGCAATGACTTTAAGCTACCCCCAGATATGAACCAGGCGTGAAAACAAGGCAAGATCATGAGCATGTGGTTTTTTTAAAAAAAGTGGCTGGGGCTTGTTTGTGCCCTAGCTAGATGGAAATAAGAAAGGGCTTACAATTATTATTCTCACATGACTGACATGTGAATGTCATTCTTCCATTTAAAAAAAATGCTGGCTTTTAAAGAAGAGACAAGACACAGAGTCTATTGTGTTCACTCTAATTGAATCACAATTTATTATTTTTGAAATATACAAAGACTTACTGGAATGTTATCTTTGTCATATTCTCTCAAATCTCTAAGGAAATTCATTTCACCTAAAAGTTTTTTGCTAGGTCCCCAGTAGTCTAAAATCTAAAAGAAAGTTAAAGAATTATATTAAATAGTTTTAAAGGTAATGAGAAAGTGGGAAAATGCAGAGGGTTTTCTAATGAATGTATAATTTGAAGGATATTCAATAAGAGGACGCAGAAAATAATTTGTATAGAATAAAAAAACTATCACTGACTATATATAGCAAAGACTGTGAATTTGCATTTCAGACTCAAACACAAAAGGGTTCTTTAGCGTACACATGGGCACACAGCTAACAGCTGTGGGCAAGTCCTTGAGCAAACATGACTTTCTCATGTTTGTGGCAGCTGTGGTTTCTAGGAAACAACAGCGCTGCTTTAAGGATTGCTGAGAGATGCTACATAAGAGGCATCTTATGGATCTGAAGATATATGTCTTTAACTCCAAAGCTCTACACAACCCAACTCTCTGCACACTGTATGTATGAAAATGAATCCGTCTTACATGTTTGAAAAATTTTGAGCTTCATCATTATAATCCTCCCATGTAAACTATTAACATATGAAATTAAGCGGTAGTTTGTTTCTAATAGCGGTGTAAAAATAGATGATAAAGGAAAAATCCACATTTTAGTAAAAAACAGGGAACCAAAATATTGAATTAAAAAACTGAAAAATCCATTAGTCTGTTATATAAATTTCAACTGTCAAGCAAATGATAATCTTATTTTCTGAGTCTTCTTATAAACTCCACTTCCACATTCCTAGCCATTCTTCCTATCAAGATAGAAATGCTTTGCTAACAGTGTATTTATGGAACCAATAATCCAATTTACTGTTCTCTGCAATTTCTCATTTCATGATGAAAACTAAGACAATTTTCATGAAGATGAAGTATTGATAAAGCAACTTTACCATGCCCGCAGTTTTATTTTATTTAGCTCTAGGTATATGTTTCCTGTTTATTAAAATGAGTTTTGCCACTAAAAGCATTTTGCTTTGCTTCAATTACTTTACCTTGCCTCCAATTCCAGAAGGATCAGCAATTTTTTCTGGTTTGATATCCTTCATGACACAAATGGCAGCCATAACCAGTTTAACTCCAGAAGGTGGATTCTTCATTGATTTTACAATTGTAATATCTGCAGGCTAAAATATTATATATTGTCAAGTTGTAGTTTCCAAAATGTTACATATTTAAACAGATATGCTACCTGTTCTTATTTGAAAAAGATCAAGGACTAAACTTTGATCTGGATGGAGTAAGGGATGGAATACTCCTTCAATCAAACAATGATCAAAAGAATGCTATTCCAACCAAGTCTCTCTATTTAGGGTTCTTTCATAAACTCTTACTGTCATTAACTTGCCTTCAGGGTGTCAAGAGCAGCCAATGCTGCCTCTAGTGCTGGAATTGCTTCGGCAAGGTCACTCTCACATTCATTTTTCAGTGCCTGGGCTTCGGCTGCCTTTTCTGTAGCAAGCTCCTCGTCTACTTTTACAGTTTTGCTTTTTGCTTCAACCTCAGCAGATTCTTTCTCAATGATCTAGAGAGGGAAGGTAAAGTAATAAATAAACAATTATAATGAAACAGCTACACAATCCATTAGAGTCATGCATTCAGTTAGTAAGACCAACTGTTCTGAACTTCTGAGTTTATAGTTGGAGCCGTATAAAAAGTATAAAAAAATTAAGCTCTGCATAAAATTAATGATTGCCACTAGAATTATTGTCTGTGACTTCTTGTATTGATGTTTTTGAAAGCATGTTTCTATCAAATATATGAGCATCTATGTCAACTGTCCCACTCAGTCATCTAGCAAAGAAAGACTCTTGGCTATTTGTTTTTGCCAAGAGTATATTGAAGTT